GGCTCCTTTGGTTGAGCGTTGGACTCTCCATTTCAGTTCAAGTCATGATCTCATGCTTTGTGAGTTCAAGGCCCGCATTGGACTCTGTGGTAAGTGTGGAGCCTTGCTTAGGATTCTCTCCTTCTCTCTCTGCCCCTCCCCTGCTCTCTCTCTCAAAATAATAAAACTTAAAAAAAAAGTGTATCTCTATCCACCAGTTTAGTCTGCCATTAAAAAATTTTTGATTTAAAATTTGAAGTCAGTTAAAAATACAGAAACACTATAGTAATGCTTGAGGTGGAATAGAACTTCCCACCATTATTCCCTGGAAGCATCTGGCAGGTTCTTTAGTCAGAATCTGCTGTTCTTTCAGGGGTGCCTGGCCGGCTCAGTCAGTGGAGCGTGCGACTCTTGATCTCAGGGTCGAGTTCAAGCCCCACACTGGGTGTAGAGATTACTTGAAAACAAAACAAACAAACAAAAAAGCATTTCTAATTCTTTCTCAGTGGACGTTTTTACTTGATTCCCACAGTTCTTTCAGGAGTTTCTTTTTTTCTAGAGTTTCCTTTGCTCTTTTTTTCCTCTCTTGCTTTTTCTTCTCTGCCTCCCGTTTTTCTTTGTAGACAAGACTGTTTTCGCCGTTGTAGAGAATATCCACTTTCTCTTGTAGGATTATCCGGGCTAGCTTTCTGTTCTGATCGACTGATCTTGTCTGATGGCACTGCAAGAGACAGTAATTCACACCGTGAAAAAGTTCATTCTGGACACAACAAAGACCATATTGCCCTCCTGCCTCTGCTCTGCTCCGCCCTCGCCCTGCCCCACCCTCCAGCATACGTATCATGTGGCTTTTTCTGTGATTATTTGTAATTAAGAGCGTTGCTTTGTTCGGAAGCAATGACAGCAGTAACATAACGTCCCCAAATAGTTTTGAAAATATCAATTGCTATGTCTAGCTTGTGGCCAGGGAACAAACACTCTGCACCATTTATAAATGTAAAATTCTGGGGGCGCCCGGGCAGCTCAGTCAGTTAAATGTCTGACTTCAGCTCAGGTCACGATCTTGTGGTTTGTGAATTTGAGCCCCGCGTTGAGCTCTGCACTGATGTGTGGAATCTGGGATTCTCTCTCTCCCTCTCTTTCCTCGTGTTCTCTCTCTCTCTCAAAATAAACTAACTTAGAAAAATTTATAAATGTAAACTTCTGTCTCAAGGAGGGAGATAGCATCTTTATTATTAGTCAACCGTAACAGTGATTATGTCATACCTGAGTTAGGAAGGGTGAGCGCCTTGCAAAGCTATCTGATAAAGCCTGTGAAATCAGAGTCAAAGCATACTACTAAAGGCGAATCTGCAGTGAGGTTATAAAATAGTTAAACAAAAACCGTGTCAGGTTTCAGAATTTTATTTGTTGCTCATGAATGACACCGTTTCTCAAGGAGGAAAAAAGCGATTGAGAAAAAAAGAAAAGCGAGTGAGGTTTTTAGTTGATAGGCTCTTGGCTCAAAAACTTGGCAGTGAAAAAACAGTTGTTCGAGCCAGACTGTGGGCTTGCTCTCGGTTGCTGCCTGTGGCTGTGGGATCTTGGGCAAGTTACTTAACCTCTCTGTGCCTGATTCCGCACTTGTACTGTGGAAAAGGTAAGGCAGGAGGGCTCATGAGGACAAAGACTGTGCGCCTCATTGCACGGCGCCTACCACGTGTGGGCGTGACGGACGTCGCTGCGGTTAGTACCGCCGGCACACGGAACAGCGGCTTCGCCATCTCCTCTGTTCCTCTGCCCGGGCCGCCCCTCGGGCCTTCGGGCCACTCAGAAGGGACTGCCAGTTCCACTGAGGCAGCGGGGCCACTACTTACAAACCAGGAAAACGGGGAAAAAGCATTTCCGTATTTCCGGGGGCTTCGAACCATGCTGAGAGCTGGTGATGCTCTGATCGGAGATTGGTTTTGATACAAAAAGGGAAGACTCCTCCAGGCAGCCAGCCGTCGCGTGTTTACTCCGAGGGCTAGAGAGGCTTCGCCCCTGTTACCTCACACTCAGAAGGGCGGGTGTCACTGACATTTACCCAAGAGGGGATGGAGGGACACGGCCAGGTCGCTGAGGGCCGGGACGGCGGGCAGACACCCCAGGCCAGCGTGCTGCTCGGGACCGGAGCCCGCGGCTTCTGCCGAACTGCGAACACCCCACGGCTCTGCGAGAACCGCGCTGCCTGCCGGATGCCAGGCCCGCAGGTGTCCCCTGGCGCCACGGGCCCCCGGAAGGAAGCTTCTGAGGCTCTGCCTCAGGGCCGGAGGCGGGATCCGCAGCGCCAACCGAACCGGGCCGCGAGGAGAACGCACCTCAGCCGACCACCGCCGTCACTCAAGCCCCCCGAAACCCAGGGACCCCCAGCGGGCTTCCTCCTCTACCTTGACGACGATGCCCGAGGGGATGTGCTTCAGCACCACACAGTTGCTGGTTTTGTTGGTTGCCTGGCCCCCCGGACCGTGCCCTTTCACGAACTGCTCTTCAAGGTCACTCTCATCCAGGGGAGGCAGCAGAGCGGGGCGGTCCCTCCTGCCTGCCATCTGGACCGCGGTGACTGCCGCTCCCGGGGCTAACAGCGCTGGCGTCCCCCGAAGCCCGAGTCCCCACGGCGCCGTGCACATTCTGGCCAGCGGTGCGGGCCAACGAAAGAAACCCGAGGTACCCATGGAGAGGAGCTCTGCTTGTTGAGGACCTGAGTTGGAGGAAGAAAGACAGCCTTTCAGGAAGACGCGCTTGCTCCCAAGAGGACACTTCGGGATCTAGGACGACCTTTTAGAAACCAGTTCAGACGACGGCCCCCCACCCGTCACCAAGATTTAGGAAACTGGCAAAGAGAGCGTGGAGCCTTGCGTTGATCTCCCGTGGTCTTAGCAGCGCGCTCCCTGCCAGCGGATACATGTTTTCTTACGATGGACTGAAAATATCTTCGAAGCGCCCGGAGGTGCCGTTTTCTCAGGGAAGAGAGGTTTTGAGTGTGTGACACACAACAGAAGAGGGCCGTATTTCGCTAAGGAAATATTATACAGGGCATCAAGCGGGAATTAGGATCTGAGTCAAGCGACGTTATTTCAACGTTTGAGAATCTTTGAAATGAAAATGTAAAGAATGACAGTATGCGAGTCTATTTTATAGCTGAGCTTACACAGTCTGACACGGTAAATATCACTATCAATCAATGTCATGATTGTTGTTTTTTAATGTTTCCAGTTTCATGGATTTGAATAGGAACATCTGTTCCCTCAGACGCACTGCCAATAACGTGATCCAAGTGGCGCTCCTTACTGGAACCATCAAATCAGCGGATTTTTAGTAAGGTGCCTGTTAGGTTCAAAATGCCACACGGGGTGTAGTGAGTAGTGCGAGGCGGAAAAGAGCGAGCCTCTGTCTTCATGGAGCTTGGAGTCTAGTCAGAAGATGCTAAAAAAAGAAAGCAGTATTTATTTAGACAATTTTTTTTTAACGCTTATTTATTTTTGAGAGAGAGACAGAGAGTGGGAGCAGGGGAGGGGCAGGGAGAGAGAGGGAGACACAGTCTGAAACAGGCTCCAGGATCTGAGCCGTCAGCACAGAGCCCGACGCGGGGCTCGAACCCACAAACCGTGAGATCATGACCTGGGCCGAAGTCGGACGCTCAACTGACTGAGACACCCAGGCACTCCAAGTAAGCAGTATCGAACCACTGGATTTAAATAGCTGCTCCCGACATAGCAGAAGGCTGAAGTGTCTCAGCTGACAGGTAACAGTATGGACAGGAGCTCCCAGAACATGGTGGTCCCGCGGGCCTTTGCTTCCAGGGGAGGTGGGCAGAGCGAGCTGAAAGGTGTTAGCTCCTTTCAAAGATCGGTAACCTCGCCATGCAGACAGGGACAAGTCACAACGGGGGCCCGTCTTATCTGGAAAATGGGTGAATAAGCCCTTCTCCACCCATCCTGCACAAGCATAAAGATCAGAGAAAAAAATATATATCCCGGAAAGATCTGTTTTGAGACCAATTTGTAGCAAAACTCCTGTCACTCAGGTGGATTATGGGAACTATGAGTGTGCTGCTCCCTTGCTTGACGCTTCTTGATCCGAGAGGGCGCGGGCGCTAAAAAGGGATGTGCGGCCCTTTTTTTTTTTTTTTTTTTCAACGTTTATTTATTTTTGGGACAGAGAGAGACAGAGCATGAACGGGGGAGGGTCAGAGAGAGAGGGAGACACAGAATCGGAAACAGGCTCCAGGCTCTGAGCCATCAGCCCAGAGCCCGACGCGGGGCTCGAACTCACGGACCGCGAGATCGTGACCTGGCTGAAGTCGGACGCTTAACCGACTGCGCCACCCAGGCGCCCCTGTGCGGCCCTTTTTAACAACTGCTGCTTCCTTTCAGACTCTAAATAGCTGCTTTTACCGTTTGAGACCCTGTAAATTCCACCTGATGGCCCCCGGTCTCCAACATAGGTAGGAAGTGGCGTGTGCCTAAGCCACAAGTAGCTTAACCTGCACCAAATACTTCCCGCAGGTTTGCTCTTGGCTCACCTTTGTTGTCGTGGGATGTCAGGTCTGGCTGCTGACTTCCACTGAGCCCACGCTGGTCTCCAACTAGCTTTGTGGAAGCTCAATGCAGACACATGCTGCTGGGTATTGCTGCCTTGTAACTACGTGCACTTCTGTCATTTTACGTGTATCTATCTGAGTAGTCCTTTCAGCCGGCCCTGAGATGACACTGGCCATCTCTAGAGTGACAGTAAGGTGTTCATCTCTCTCCCTCTATGGAAAATAAAAACAATGAAATCTGCTTTTCAAGCCTTATGCCAATGCTAATTTTCAATTCTATGACTGACATTGTAGTCTAAACTCGTAACTTCTTCCTTCCTTCCTTTCTTTTCTTTAAACAAGTGTTTTATTTTTGAGAGAGAGAGAGAGAGACAGCATGAGCGGGGGAGGGGTAGAGAGACAGAGAGAGAGAGAGAGAGAGAGAGAGAGAGAGAATCCGAAGCAGGCTCCAGGCTCTGAGCTGTCAGCATGGCGCCCGACATGGGGCTCGGACCCACAAACCGGGAGATCATGTCCTGAGCCGAAACTGGATGCTTAACTGAGCGGGCCACCCAGGCACCCCTAAACTCGTAACTTCTTTCTGAAAAGTATGCCATTCAGCGTGTAGGTCAGTCCCTGGGGGCGAGGATTAGTGTGGCATTGGCAAGATGCTCTGTGGCTGCGAGGGGCTAGATTTTGAAACAGAGTGTGCCGGTGCCACTTAAAAACAACAACCGGGTTTGTTTATCGTGTGTCAGGTCTCTCCAAAGTCCGCTCAGGAGCAGAGAAACGATAAACCCATAAACTCAGGCGCTTTTCTGAAATCGCCGCAACAAAGAATCCGCTCCCCTGTAACCAAGTGAAGTGAATGAGACTGAGTCGATGCCCAAAATTCCCCTTTCCCTTATTTCTGCTTTCAATCCACAGAACAAGATCCCTTTGTGTACCAGACAGCATCTAGTCCCTGGATCAGATTTGTTGTGGAACTCAAGCCCAGGGCCTCCCTTGGGGTTTCTCTTCCGCTGGTTGGTAAATCTGACCGGCCAGGGCAGCCTTGGAATTGAGTGCAGGGACAAAGAGAGGAAGAGAGTCGGAGACAAGGCAAAACTCCCAGACAAAGGGCGGAGAGGAGAGTGCGTTTATCAGCTGCTCTGTTCCCGGCCTGCTGTGTTTCCAATCTCTACCTTTCTGTCCTAGTTCAGAGCCGACACACACGCTAGAAGGTCTCCCACCCAACTGCAGTTCACGAAGGCCCCCGGTGTTCAGTTACTGGCTGCTTTGTTTAACAGCTAATTCCAACAGCCAATCGGACGATTTTAAATACTTTTAGTATCTCCTGGAGCTTTGGCTCTACGCCAACGACTGCTCAAAATGACAAACTCACCCGTGGTTCCGCTTCCCCAAAGCCCAGAGAAGAATACGGATTGGGTTTCAGTTTTTGTGATACCTGCAGAGCAACCCAAAGTCTTTGGGGGAACAATACAAGCATCTTCAATTAGAGCTCATTGTGACATTAAAAAAGAGAAAAGGACAAATGGTAACAAGTGCTGGCAGAGGGAAACCAGGAGTCATGACAGCTTGCCCCAGTTCCTTTCTGTGAGCGTGCGCCTCCATTCAGGGCCGGCTCTCCACCCCGGCTGATGCAGTTGGGCTTAAAGCCTCTCTCGCTGTCCCAGTCCCTTCCCACTTGGTCAGGTCAGAGATAACGGGAGTTAGGACTTTACAAAAGGGAACGTTCATTTGTTCAATGAATGTTTCCAACACCTCCTGTGTGCCGGGCATGGGTCTCAGGGAGCCCAGGGGGCCTGTTGCATAAATGAGAAATTAAGATTTCCCGAAATCTGACACGTGCTGTAGCCCGGAATGGAGAAGATGCCACAGAGAGCGGTGGTTCTTGGTCACTGTGCCTGAGTCCCTTGGCGTGCTCATTACTGGGACTTGGAATCTGCATTCTGTTAGGTGCCTCCTTTCCTAACCTGGACCCAGCCGCCACACATTCCCGCCTCAGGCCTCCGTGGCCAACCCAAACCCAGGAAGACGTCTAGCTGCAGGGGTGGTGTGGTCCGCTCTGGGATGTGGCCCGTGACTGCGGCCAACAGTCAGACGTAAAGCAGACGCAGCAAGGCGAGGCTCGCTTCGCCGGCAGCATTAATGCTCCTGAGACGGGCAAAGGGGACGCTGATGCCTTTCCCGTTGTGCCTCCAAGACAGATAAGGGTATCTGAATCCATTTGCAGGAAGTCATAGGATTTCAATCTCTGGACTCCCCTTCCGGATGCCATTTGCCCCAAATTCACTGTTTATTCTTCTGAGAGACAGAGAGAGAAACTATTTTCTCTTAGCCACAACTTTCATATTGTCTCAACCTCGGAGAGACTTCATCAAAGCCAAATGAAAGAACAGATGTGGAGCTCAATGGGAACAGGGTGCTTTAGGAAAGGCAACCGGTAAAGCTCTTGAGAGAGACAAATCCCCGGGAATCCTGCAAACCAGGATCCTGCTTCATTAGGCCTGGGGTGGTGCCTGAGACTCTGTATTCCTAACCAGCTCCCTGGTGAGGCTCTTGCCTCCAGGAACCCCACTGTGAGAGTCATGGCCAAAAGCTCTGAGCAAAGGTGCTGCCTGGGTGGTGGCTCTTGGGAGCGTCTAAATACTGGATGGGGTCCTGGGACGACGATGGAAAAGATGGCGATGAGGAAGGTGTGAAGGACAGTAATGGTGGGAACAGAAAACACTCACAGAAAGAACTGAATGCATATGGATTTGAGCTAATAGGGAATGTGAAATGGTAACCAGGGGACTGAGAAATGGGGTCATCCGAAAAAAGAACGCCAATAATGTGTTCTAGAACAGCGTTGTCCGACCTGAACATAATGTAGGCCACGTGTGAAATTCTAAATTTTCTAGTAATCACCTCAAAAACAGTAAAAAGGGGCACCTGGCTGGCTCAGTCGGTGCAAAATGTCACTCTTGATCTTGGGGTTGGAAGTTTAAGCCCCAAATTGGGTGCAGAGAGCACTTAAAAATAAAATCTTAATGAAACAAAACAAAACAAAACTGGGGTGCCTGGGTAGCTCAGTCGGTTGAGCGTCCGACTTAGGCTCAGGTCATGATATCGCGGTTCGTGGGTTCGAGCCTTGCGTCAGGCTCTGTGCCAAAAGCTGAGTCTGGAGCCTGCTT